CCGGGCCGCGTCGCCGCCGCGGGCTGCCGCTCTCCTCCGGCGGCGCGGGGCGGGGGCCTCGGGGCAGTTTTAGGTGAGCCGGAGGAGGAGGTCGGGGAGGAGGAGGATATAACGGGGCCCGTGGGTTGGGCATTGGCATCTCGGGGGGGGGGCGGCGAGCCTCCATCCTTCACCGGAGACGTGGGCCCTGGGCCGCTGGGCCGTCTGCGGTCGTCATTAGGCTTCTCCAGATGTCAACCTCGGGTGAGGCCAAGGGTTTATGGGTGGTGTTAGCTCTCACTCACGAGGTGGTGTTATTTGGGGGAGCCTTTCCTACAGACCCTGGATATGCCTGCCTTAGAAGTTCCTGTCACCGTAACAGCTGCCCCGGAGCCCAAGGTGGGTGAGAGTAAAAAGGAACCTAGAGGAAGTGTAGACTATTTTCTCTTTCCTGAATCGTGCCTTTTCCTCAGTTTCCTGAACTCACGTGGGTGCACTTCTGACGTGTGAAATGTCTGGGGTGTCTTGTTCCTCGTGATGCTGTTTTTTCCCCTTTTGGTCTTTTTTTTTTTTGTAAAGAAAGACTCAGTGTTCACTTTATTTTCTTCAGTCTTTTTTAAAATTCATTTATTTTCCTCCTGGTTTTGTTCTTTCAAGGGAATACGTTATTTCTGTATTTTCTATCCATTAATAGTTTTGCCAATTAGCATTTTAGTCAGTGTCCTGTCACTTTTCCTCTTGAGTTTGGTACCTGAAGGAAACCAAGTCTTGGCTGTGGAGGATGGAGTTTGGAATGTGCAATTCCTTGTACAGATTTTGCAGGGGAAGACTGGTGCTCAGTGATCCTGGATTTCCATTTGCGGGCTCTTGATGTGAGAAATCACTGTGTTGCTGTTGCTGCCACTTATGGGCTGCATTGCAGTGCTGCCTTGAATTGTGTGATAAAGGCCAACTGAGTTGTTAATCTAACACAACTTGTAAAAGAGCTGTGCTGCATCACCTGGCAGAGCTGGCATGGTCATTTCTGCAGGTCATTTTGAGAAACTACCATCAAACCTTAGATATCCGATATCTGGCGTATGGAGGTTAGTGGAGAGCTGTACAAGTGGTAATGGGATAGAACAATCAGGTGGATTTAGGGCTCATTTAATCCTGTCCTGTCCTTCTCACTTCTTGGGCAGAATTCCCACTGAAGTCAGTCGTGGTCTGTGTGCAGTCTGCTGAGAACAAGAGGCTGCTCATTAAGAGTAATAGTGGGGGACGGTTTCTTTCCTTTTAAAGCATCCCTTTTTCTGAAGACTTACGCATACCCATTCTTCAGTCTCATGTCTAATAGAAGTAGTTAGGTGGTATGTGCAGAAACCTTCCAGCCATAAATCGAGTCATTAAACCTCCAACTTTGAATCTAAATTGGATGACAATTATTTGAAAAGGTAAAAAAATCTGATTTTTCAAATTAAATTTTTTTTTTTTTTTTACAACAGGGTCTTGTCATATAGGGCAGCTCAAGCTGGCCTCAAATTCTTTCTTTTTTTTGTTGGTTGTGGGGCCTGAACTCTGGGCTTGGGTACTGCCCCCTCAGCTTTTCACTCAAGGCTAGCGCCCTACCACTTGAGCCACAGAGCCTCTTCCGGCTTTTTCTGTTTATGTGGTGCTGAGGAATCAAACCCAGGGCCTCATGCACGGGAGGCAAGCACTCTACCACTGACCTCAAATTCTTGGCCCTCTTCTCTCACCCTCCTGCCTGCTGGGATTACAGGCTAGTGTGTGTACCGCCCTGCCATCTTTAACATCTGAAATTTAAGTCCAAGTGAGAAGAAGGAAATGGGAGATTTAGGGGAGGAATCTGAAGGGAGGCACACCAAAAAAATTATTATAAGTAGACTCCAAGGAATCTCAGAAGCTCTGGTTCTATTTTGAGACTGTTAGTACACTTTGGTCATGTATATCACACTTGCCTTAGAAATTAGTGACTAGCAGGACCCATCATTAGATTTGCAAGAACTATAAGCTTTACAGCTTAGCGTAACTGTGGCTTACCCTGTCCAAATTACCAGTTCCAAAGAATTGAGTTTAGAAAACCTAACCAGTGACCAGAATGTAAAAATAGATATTTAAAAATCAGAACCATGTCTACGTGTACTACCCAACCACTTGCTTTCAACTAAAAATACTTGTAAAGATGACAAAGCAGTCCTCAACCAAAATATTTATTGGTAAAATTTCTCTGTAATTAGTAATATTGTATAGTTAGGTTTAACATCAGGTTCTTCTGTCAATCACTACTTTCATTACTGTGGCTTGTGACCTACAAATCTTGTATCTTTGCCATTTTATTTAGGAATGTGGGTTTTATATGTTATATAGCAGCTATCTAGCTGTTGGAGGTTGATTTTCCCCCCATTGTTTCTCTTTTTTACAGAAAACATATTTTTTTTCTTTTTTATGAACTGAGATAATCTGTTTAAAAGTTGTATGTGGACTTATTGAAAAATAAGAATTAATAGCTCTTTTTTTAAAAAAAAATAAAGCAATACAGGTTTATAAGGTTCAATACCACCAAGTCACACTTTTTCATTTCTGAAATCTGTATTGTATACTTGCAGAAAACAAAGGAAATGTGCCTACCTCCTCCACCCACCTTTATTTAGAAACAGTTTCAGTGGCCTTGTTTGCTTTTTTTTTTTTCAGGTTCAGAATTACAGTACCTAACTACTAGGTACCCTTAAACAGATTTAAAAGCCTCAAGTAAATGTTTATGCTGGCTTCAGTAGTTAGCAAATACTAGCCAAACCCTAATTTACTGCTCTTTTATAGAATCTTGGAATCTCAGGGCTGAACTGTTTTGCAGGCAGCAAATCTACCCTTAGCCTTGCCCCCTTTCCCTCAACAGAAACATTTTGCAGCCTCTTCAGAAGACCTGCCTTAAGTAGGAGATTGTGTGTGATTCCCCCACATACTCTAGGTCAGCACATCCTTTGGGAATACCATATTTTGGCATGTATCAGTTACTTGATAGTCATAACATTTCTGTCATTCCTTTGTGCACAGTACCCCAGACTAAAATCTATAGTGGACTCAGTGCCTGTTGTCATTAGCTGTGGGTGGTGGCTTCTATGTTAGCTGTTAATAATATGGCTTTTAGAAGTTATTACAAAGTCAGAAAGGAAAAGAAACTGTACTATTATCTAGAATTTTTTGGTGTTTTTCTGTACAATATATATTTCATATAAAGGGGGAGGGACTGTTTATTACATATATTTGCTAGTGATTACTTCAACATTGTACTAAATAAATATTTGAAGAATTCATTAAACCTTTATATATTGATTTTTTAGTAAAGATTATTGGATTTTAATATTTGGCTATAGTTTTTATAGAAATATGGAGAAAATAGAGGAAGGGTTTTACTTTTGTTTTTAAACCTACTTTTTTTAAAACCTAGTTTTACAAATTCTTCCTTTTGTAGTTGGGTTGGCATCTGTATATAGGATCTTTATTTGTTTGTTTGTTTATTTATTGCCATCCTTGTGGGCCTGGGCATTGTTCTTGAGCTCCTTTTTTTTTGTTCAGTCATGGGCTTGAACTCTGGACCTGGTTCTTCAGCTCAAGGCTAGCATTCTACACCACTTGAGCTATAGTGCCACTTCCAGTTTTCTGGTGGTTTACTGGAGATAAAAGTCTCATGGACTTTCCTGCCACAGCACCACTTCTGGCTTTTTCTGAGATAAAAATTCATGGACTTCCCTTCCTCAGCTGGCTTTGAAGCACAGTCCTCAGATTTCAGCCTCCTGAGTAGCTAGGTGTGAGTCACTGGTGCCCAGTGGTGTGTGTGTGAGATCCTTACACATGTACGTTTTATGTCTCAAAGGGTAAATAATTATACATTATTTCCCTGGTTTGAGAAATAGAATTTGTTTTGATTTAAATCTCAGTTTTTTTTTTTTTTCTGAATTTTCTTGTTTAAAATGTCAGCCGGGCTCTGGTGGCTCACGCCTGTAATCCTAGCTATTCAGGAGGCTGAGATCTAAGGATCTTGGTTCAAAGCCAGCCCGGGCAGGAGAGACCGTGAGACTCCTATCTCCAATAAACCACCAGAAAACCGGAAGTGGCTCTGTAGCTCAAGTGGTAGAGCACTCGCCTTGAGCTGAAGAGCTGAGGGACAGCGCCCAGGCCCAGAGTTCAAGCCCCATGACCGACAAAAAAAAAAAATCTTTTACTTCCTGATATTATAATAGATGTCATATGGCCTGTCAATGCCTACATACTTCTGATTTTATTTAGGATAGAATTTG